TGCAACATTTACAACCCAGGAATATATAGTGTTCTATGTAGAAAACGTTTTCCATAAGATTATGTGCATCGTGTTTATAAAAAAAAAAAAAAAAAAGTTTTCCAGTGGGTAAACATATGAAAAGAAAGAAGCTTAAGTGTATAATTTTCCTGGTCAGGTATTTAAATTTGAGACAGGTAGCATCAATAGCCTGTGTTACCATACTAATATGGAATACCAAGCAATGCTCCTAGGAATTGCTTTGGATTTGCTTGTTAACCTTCATCAAGCCCAGAGTGTATAAATTCTTCATTAAAATAGGTGTTTCGCAGAATTAGTCATTAAACCTATGAAGATTGGCTCCAGCAGCTTAGCTGCTGAATCTCTGTGCAGAGGACCGCCCTGAAGAAACAGGTATTTTCCCAAAGCACTGAGTCAGCTTATCTAACAATAACCTAAGATATCAGAAGAATCTCATTATGTTAAAAAGACCCTCTAACTGATGCTTCTAGAGCAAAAAAACTGTATTTCATAGCATCATATTTACTTGACTCCAAGAGGAGGTTCTACCCCTCCACATTCAAAATGACACTTTTTTTTTTTTTCCTTTCATGTCAGACTCAAGTATGGGGCTGTGCCAGGGCTGGAGCTGCTGCCCTTGCTACCTGGCCAGGTCAGAACTGCCACCACTGCCACATCTGCAGCCCCAGGCCAGGGCTGGGAGCCACCGTGTGCTCCATGCTCCAGGCCAGGGCTGAAGCCAGAGCAGCAGGAGCTTTAGAGAATAGCAAAGCATGTGCAAAATAGGTTGGTGTACTAAAGAAGCTATAACAGGAATGGCATATTAAACTTTCTGGTTGTCACATAGGATTCCAGTTTTCAGTCTTCGTTTTGTGGAAAGTTATTCAATGTGAGCATGTACGTGAACATATTCACATGCAAGCATGACTTCCTTGATGTCATAGTTCCTGGACTGCCTTCTAATTCAGTGTCAACTCCCTCGTCCTCCCCAATCAAGAATCAGAAAAGGAATCAGGTTTCAAGATCAGGTCCTTCATAAGATACTACATTAGTATCTCCAGAGCATGAAGCAAAGCTGCCAACTCATTTTTCTAAGTGAACAAAGCAGCAGCATTTGTGGCACAAACTGTTCATTTTGCTAATACATGGCCACCGATTAAATTTAAACAGCAATCCATCACGTTGCATGCACAGAATAAGTCACCCATGGCTTGCAAACATCTCTCAATTATTTGAGGCACAGTGACCTGTTTTGACTACTTTTCTGTAATAACTTCATCCATTATTACCATCAAAAAGGGTGAATCATGAAAATGAGATTACGCTGAGAGAAAAATAATCCCACATGATTTCAAAATACCTCCTCATCTATTTTACATTACTTTTGTATCACTGGCCTTCATCCGCAAGTTTAAAAAAACACCCACAAAAAAACTGTCTTAAAAAAGTGTGCTGGCAGATTGAAAACTCGAGGGAAAATATTTCACAGTTTGATACCATAAACATCTGGGTACAAAGGAAAGTTGAGCATGGAGGAGAAGCCCTCAACTTTGCTACTGTGATGCCTATTCACATACTAAAAAGATTACAAATATATATCTATAGAACGAGAAGTTCTTACCCAGAAGATCCAATGCTTTTACACGTACCAAGAAGGGGTCTCTTCTCAGAAAAGTTATCACATTTTTGAGTACCTGATTAGACAGAAAAGCAGAAGATTAAACTCTCAGTAAAAAGTATTTATCAGATTTTTATTTTCATCATGCTGTGCTTACCAGCTCACAACTCACTGCAATGATGTACCAGCTGCACAAACTGAAAAGATGTAATTACATCTTAGTTTTAAGATCAGTCAAATTGCAGTCTACTTTTTAAAAAGCACAAATCATTAACAAAATCTGAAGCCGGAATAAAATTACCCTTTCTTCTAAAGCAAGGGCGATTAGCATTTTTAAAGCTTGCTTCATGACTGGGTCTCTCTAAAGGCTTTCTTAATGAAAAGGACAAGAATGTGACAGCACATTGGTTTTCCACCCCCTGCCCCAGTAGCCAGTACAAGCTCAGCAACAGGGGCACAAATCAGAGAGCCATCCTCTGGAACAACAGTGTTTGAAGGCTAGTGACAGGTGTAAATGAATAAAGGACATTTGGCCAGAACACTGGAATTATTCCTTATTCTTCTCAGACAGGATTATGGGATCTTGACTTATAAAGTCACGCTGAGCAACACTCGCTCATGTTCCAGTGCTCTGTGTAGCTCTTCTAAGACAGCACTGTCCCCACCTCTGAAAGGCTCTCACCTTTTTCAGTTCACTCCATTAAAGGTCACACAGTGTAAGAGTGGTCCCCCCCACTCCTTTGTGCAATAAGCTACAGTGCTAGTGTATGCCTAAAACGAGGCTGCATCACACCCCAAAACAGATACAAGATTCAAGTGGGCACGACTGTCACAAGTTACTCAGCAGCCAAGTCCCATTTTCAAGTGATGTAGGCACTTTGGGGCTGGGAATCATCAGTGGAACTCGCTTTGAATAAGTCTTCAGGGATGTGTGCTTTGCAGTAAAAAAAGTGTGACAGCAGCTCACGTAGGCACGCACAAGCTAGCTCTAAAGTAATTAGCTAGGGCACTGGTATCAGTGTAGTGACAGCAGCACAGACTGGCCACCTGAATATTTATCCGGCTTCTCGGGCAGGTTGTGCAGCCTTTTCTGAGAGTCACTCTGTTACAAGCTCAGAGCTGTCAGTCCCCGAATTAATGTACATCTATGCAAGTTGCAGTCACATCTTAGTCGAGGTGTGAATGTACTGTCTTGGTCAGTCACTTTTAAAAAAATTCCTAAGTGCCATTTTCAAGTTGTGCCCAGCATCTAAGTAGGAATAAAGGAAAATAAATAAATACATAAAATCTCCCTACCCTGTTACTCTTTTGTTCAATTCTCGGATGTATACTTAATGAATTTAAAAACAACCACGTGCACAAAACTGAGTCACCTCTTTGAGAGAGTTTTCTTTTAAATTATCTTTGTGAAATGCAAACCTTTCAACCTTTTTGATCAGCACAATGACTTATCAAGTATTGGTAACATATTCTGTTCAAAACTTAATTCACAATTAATTGTGAGGCTGTACTTCTAAATGAATTAAATCAGAAAGGTACAACAATTAACAATATACTTTTTCACTTAATAGTGCCTGTTAATAATTAATAGTATGGGTACATACCATTAATTTGTTACATAAAAACTGTTCAGCAATCTCATCTATACAAGGCTGAAGTCTTCCCTCCTACACATTTGGATATTTGTAATGTTAAATTGTTCACATCAATAATTTCACTATCAACAATAGCCTTACAAGTAACGTAAAGCAGCCAAAACGGTTTTCCCTTTTATTTTGCTCCTTCCAAGGTCTTTTATGGGTCACACCTGTACAGTACGATAAGTACTGATCTGTAAATTGATAAATGAAACATGAAGGTTTTGTGTTTTTTTTTAAATAAGTCTGGCAACCCATTTCATTCCCCCCTACCCCCCAATATTGGTAACAGATGAACTCCATTTGTTCCTGTTTACCTAGTCAACCTCAACAGACATTGCACTAAGAGTGAAACCCTTACTGCAACCAAGCCAGTGGGAGTTCTGCACTGACTTCAGAGCTAGCATTTCATCTCATGTATTTAAGCTATACTAGAAACATGAGTCCACAAGTTTGTATCAAGGTCCAGTCCTAAGTTTAACAGCAATACGATAGAGAGAAAGGATAGCATAGTACACAAAAGGAAGATGAATTAATGGGGAAAATATTTACCAGGAACCAAACAGGAGCACCAATCAATATATGCACCAATATATGCTTTTCTACATAACTGTACAAAGCTCTTAAACTTCCACCTGCAAAATCACGCTCACATTTTTTTTAAATTCCGTTATCTACTTCAAATATACGTTTTTAAATGTAAATATTAATATTTGAGAAAGTCATTAGTGAAATAAAATCAGTGCATAAAATCAAGTTAATAGCAGTCCTAGCCATGAAACTGCAGACCGCAACATGTGTTGTTGTAATGCCAAATGGAGTCAGCACCCCCTTGTAGTTTGAGGGTAGGGGAGAGGAAGGATTTAATCCTTGAAGTTATAGCAGATTAATTTTTTATATGTAAAATTGTGTTTATTCGCATGTGAGATGCACTGACGTTGTACACACCTGCTCCACATGCCGTGTTTAACAAAATGCAGCAGAATGATTGAAATGAAAGACAGCTAGCTAAATCCATCAAATATAAAAAGTACTGAAATCCTGTTGCAAAGTCCTTTTCTTAAACTCCTTTTATTCTAAATCCTTTTAATTCTGTCATATAACACTATAGCATTTATAAAAAGCTGAAAATCCTGATAAATCACACAATTAAAGTAATGAAAACTGCTTTTTCTGCCAAAAAGGCACCACCTTTTCTACAACTCCATTTAACTAAATGATAAAAAAAGTCTACTATTGGTTTGTATATTTGAAAATGTGCTAAAATTGCCCTCTAGCTAGATGAAAACAACTTCCATACAAAGCAATTCCCTGAGGCTAAAAACTTATCCCACATGCCAATACTGCTCACTTGTTCCTGCTTCTGTATAGTATTCCTGATAAAGTTTCAGCTGGAAGTTGTACCTTTCCATGCAAACATCTTAATGCAAAGAATTAGAAAAGATATAACCCAATTAGCTAAAAACCTACCAACTTTCATGGGAGCTGAATCCAACACCTCCAGAAATTAAGCAACTTTCTATTTTTGCTGGGCTCACAGTAAGGATGGTGCTTGCCAAAAGCCATGTTATTATATATTTTTTTCATCTATGAAGCATTTTAGTTTACCTTCTGTAAGAGATGCACTATGTAATACAAAATGCTGTTGTGTTTAGCCATAGTGCGTACTTTGAATGAAAAGTCCATTCTCTGCATGAGTGCTGGCAAATGAATGTCAATGAATCAGTATAAAACCTGTGACTCCCTCTTGTTTCTTCATTTTCTCTTTTGTTAGAAGTCTGTTCTATTTAAGCTCTGCTTTCAATAGTATTCAGTGTGACTGGTATTAATTGACCAGAGTTCTCACTTTTTGCCTTTCCCAGTTCAACGGGGGGAAAAAAAGAGTTTTATTTTGAACTTGTATCTTTTTAAATGTATGCAGTGGTGTATGGATTGGGTGGGTGGAGACTACTGTCTTCAGTAAACACATACATTATGTACTTTGCAGTTGGAGTGGAAAATACTGATGTCTGAGGGTTTTTGCTTTTGTTTTATTAATGGGGAAGTTCCTTCTTTACCGTCAGCCAGTCCCTGAGAATGCGCTGTCTCATGAACGCACTAGATTTACCCAACTTGTTGACAGCTTTATCGTGTTTGAGAGTAGAGCAGCTGCCTGTAGTCCTCATCACAGGACTTGGCAAAGATCTGCGAGCATCTTAATAATAACAAATTTCTTCTAGGGAACCAATACAGAGAAGGTCTGATGTGATTAGACTGCAAATCCTTTGGTGGGGGGGGAAGAGAACAATATCATTTTGTTTCGTGTTTGCAGAGCAGCTCGCATGATGGGGTCTCAACCAGGACTGGGGCTCTTTAGGTACTACTCCAATACAAAAAATAAATAGTAGTCATCACAAAAAGCAGCTGACCAACCATGTTGCTGAGGAGAGGTGCTGCTGTGTTCACTCTGAGCTGGAGTTTCCAAAAAGCTGATGGCTTCATGCCCAGAGTCAAAAAATCACAAACAGCACTACACCCAGAACCAAAAAGAGTATCTTTCTACATCCAAGAAGTTAAAAGCAACACATATTCTATATACAGAAACATGATATTCCCTCGAAATTGGGTCCAAGTAGGAGACTTACATTTGACCAACAAATACATTTTTGGATAGAGCACTGAGCTGCCTCTACATTGACAAGACTGCGTAGTCCCACTCTTCACAATTCCTCCTTTTCTGCAGACTCAACTTTGTTCACTAACTCGGAGGTGCCAGAAGGAAAATTATCAATTTCAGCAAAAGAAAAAATGTCCAAGGTCCGAGGCAAGTGTTTCATAGTGGCAATATGGATGAGGACAACGATGATTCTTTTACACGTAGTATGTGCATTCAACTTGCCGACACAACTGATGTGCTCAGAATTAGTCACGATCATCTTCCAAGTCAAGCAAGTTACAATAAAAAATAAAAATAAAAAGGAGAGAGAGACATTTTCCACATATCCCTAGCTAAGGATGCCTAGAAATTCATAAACATCATACATGTCAGGGACGACCTACTGGCTAAGTCTACAGGTTGCAGAAAGTTAAAACTCTGAATAAAAAGAAAAAAGAAGAGAGAGAGCGTTCAAGCGCCTAATTCATTTAAACGTCTTTCAGCAACAGACAGCGTGCAGATCTTCTCAATGGAACCAAACACGAGGCTTCATTTTAATCCAAATTTAAAATTGCTTTCTTGGCCTAGAACAGAAGTCAAAATTAGACCTTCTCAGAGCTATTGAGATACAGGTCCCTGTCCAGCCACAACAGAGTCCCGAGGTAAAAGTTATGTTACATTCTGGAATACAACACAACTTGCACTGATTATTTCAGACTAATGATATGGGAATAGAACCAAAACATATGGTAAAAATTTCCAAGGCATTTTCTGCACTTCAAACTCCTTTATGCGTTATGGCAT